TATGTGTGCTCAAAATCCCAACAGGATGGAGAAATGAAAGAGAAAGTATGACCATGTACTTGCTTCCCTCTCCACTCTCTGCCTCTCTGTTCAGTCCACACACCATCTGGCAGAATTCAGTTTTTAATTGCCATTTACTGTTCTAATATATATGCTCCTTGACCAAGGAAGGCTTAGACAGAGGCTGAAAGTCCAAAAATTATTCAAGACTGTTAAATATATTCTAAAAATTAATAATTTATATTAGAGATACACACTGTTTAGTCAAAGAATAACAAAAAAAGTTTAAGAAAACTGCCAGGGCCGGCAGGTGGCGTGGTGGTTAAAGGTACTGGGTTCCTACATGGCCGACAGCAGTTCAAGTCCCAGACCTGGCAGCTTGCTTTCTCACTTTCCCTTTCTCTCTCTGTCTCTAGTCAAATTAAAAACTAATAATAACAAATGGAATTAAATAAGTAAGTAATTTTTAGAAACACTGGCAACATGTTACCAACAAGAGTACCTTTAAAGTCAGCAGGAGAAAGACAATGTACTAATACTGATAGAAAAATCAGTGGAGATGAAGCCAACAGGTGGCATGGTGGTTAAGGGCGCTGGACACCCACATAGCTGACCACGATTCGAGTCCCTGACCTGGTGGCCTGCTTTCTTCCCCTCCTCCCCGCCAGGTCAAATTAAAAATAAATGAATGAAGTTAAAGTAATTCTAAAAAAAAGAAAAAGAAAAAGATGTAGGCAATTATTAAATGCCTTTTTCATATGATTGATAAAATTGTTAAAAGACTGATAAAACCAAGTTTTAGCAGCAATGCACTAAAATAATCGTCACACACTATGAGTATTCACCAGTAAATCCTACAATTTTTTGGAAGGCAACTGGCAAGATCTCATATAGAAACAAACATTTTCAAGACCAGCAGTTGGTGTAATCGCTGTATCGCTGGACTCCCATGTAGTCAGCCATGGTTTGAGTCCTGGATCCAATGGCTTAAACTCACACTGGGAGCGTGTGCGTGTGTGCCCAAGATCCCGAGAGGAGAATGGAGAAGGGATTGTGGCATGGCCATCCCCCCTGGGGGGGTGATTTCTCTCTCTCTGTCTCTGTCTGGTGAGCACACGTCCCCTCCCTATAGCAAAAACCTCCCAAAAAATAAATAAATAAAAAAGAAAGAAACATCTTCAACCTATCAATTCCAGTTCTAAGAACTTATCCTCTGAAGTTACACACAACGATAAATATACCCAAGGATAGTCACTGCAACATCATTCATGGGGCAACAATCACCAAACTAGAAAGTAACTTACATGGCCGTGAATATAGAAGTGGTTTACATAGTTATATTAAAAATGTAAACATAGGTAGATCTACTTGTTCAATAATGTCTTACATACAAAAGGGGAAATAGGGACCAGCAGTTAGCGTAATGGCTATGTCGCTGGACTCCCACGTAGTCGACCACGGTTCGAGTCCCGGACCCGGTGGCTTAAACTCACGCCGGGCACGTGTGCGTGTGCGTACCCAAGATCCCGAGAGGAGAATGGAGGAGAAGGGATTGCGGAGTGGCCTTCCCCCCTGTGTGCCCAAGATCCCGAGAGGAGAATGGAGAAGGGATTGTGGCATGGCCATCCCCCCTGGGGGGGTGATTTCTCTCTCTCTGTCTCTGTCTGGTGAGCAAAAACCTCCCAAAAAATAAATAAATAAAAAAGAAAGAAACATCTTCAACCTATCAATTCCAGTTCTAAGAACTTATCCTCTGAAGTTACACACAACGATAAATATACCCAAGGATAGTCACTGCAACATCATTCATGGGGCAACAATCACCAAACTAGAAAGTAACTTACATGGCCGTGAATATAGAAGTGGTTTACATAGTTATATTAAAAATGTAAACATAGGTAGATCTACTTGTTCAATAATGTCTTACATACAAAAGGGAAAATAGGGACCAGCAGTTAGCGTAATGGCTATGTCGCTGGCCTCCCACGTAGTCGACCACGGTTCGAGTCCCGGCCCCGGTGGCTTAAACTCACGCCGGGCACGTGTGCGTGCGTACCCAAGATCCCGAGAGGAGAATGGAGGAGAAGGGATTGCGGAGTGGCCTTCCCCCCTGGGGGGTGATTTCCTGCTTTCTGTCTGTCTCTCTCTCTCTGTCTGTCTGGCGAGCGCACACGCCCTATAGCAAAAATCTCTCCCCCCCCCCAAAAAAAAGGGAAAGTAATATGAATGTGTGCACATACATATGTATGATCTACCTCTTAAAGAGTATATTTCTGCACATACAAAGTGGATATGAGAATATCTGTATGACTATGTATAAAATTAACAATGGCTATGTGTGAGAAATGATTTGGTAGCTGGCATGAGTATAAGACACTTTTTATTTTATATTCCATACTTTTTTTAAAAAAAGCTGACATTTATAATTTAACTGAAATGTAATAAACGTCCATAATAAATTAACCAAAACATATTCCATACCAGAATAAAATAAAACATCCTGCCACTACTACCCTGCTCCAGGCTTTTGTTACTGTATTTTATTTATTATACTGTTGGAAACTAGAGTGTTTTGGTTTCCGGCTGTCAGAATTATATTGTTTCCCAACAATATAATACTTCAAGGTATTATATTGTGCTCATTGTACATGAATATTAATACAATTAGGTAAGTTTCTTACCTTAACAAGTGAAGAGTCCATGAACTGACCAGGAGGGATAGAGTCCAAGTATTTCTTGAGATCCATGGAAAGAAATTCAAAGATGAGATATAACCTGGAATCCTGCATAAGCACATCTTGAAGACTGAAAAATAAAACAATTATATGAAAGAAAGGAAAAAAAAGTATTTCTAACCCCTTGCTTTCACAAAATAAGATTACTTCTATACATTTCAGTAACTTGTAAAAAGTGGGAAAAGAAGGGCCGATAGCTTCCCTAACAGAGAAAACCTTAATGCAAAACTAGAATTTGCAAAAAAGAATCACAGGACTACAATTTAAGTCTTCTTACAGAAGGGGCTAATTTATAAACAACCCATTTTCTAAAAGAACATTCCATCTCTAGCTTTACTGCTCACTACTCAGAGCTTTCCTTTCTGTTCAAGTAAAAAAATTCTGGGGGCCAGAGGGTGGTGGCACAGTGCTAAAATATGACTCAGAGAAGGTTCCCAGTCTCTCTCTGGAGATCTCGCTGGGTATTCCAGGCATGTGTGTCTATGATCCTGGGCTGGCTGAGCATGGGGGTGGATCAGTATCAAGGGCTTGTTGGGGATGCTGTCTCTCTCACTCATGGGAGAAATAAATAAATGTTAAAAAGAAAATTATTAGGGCCAGCAGATGGCATAATGGTTACGTCCCTGGACTCCCACATGACTGATCATAGTTCAGTCCCAGACCCAGTGGCTTGAAACTAACACTGGGCACATATGTGTGTGTGTGACCAAGATCCCAAGAGGAGAATAGAAGAGAAGGGATCATGGCATGGCTATTTCTCACTTTCTCTTTCACTGTCTCTCTCTCTCTCCATACCTGGTCTAGTGAGCATACAAACCCTAATGCAAAAACCTCTGAAAGAAAAAAAAAAAACAAAAAACTGGGACCACTAGATGGTGTAACAGTTACATTGCTGGACTTCCATGGAGTTGACTGCAGTTCAGGTCCCAGACTCTGGGACATAAAACTCACACTGCGCCCATGTGTGTGCATGCCCAAAATCCCAAAAGAAGAATGGAAGAGAAGGGATTGCTGCATGGTCATCCTCTGGGGAATCATTTCTTGCTTTGTGTCTCTGTCTCTCCAGAGAGTACACGTGCTCTATAGCAAAAAATCTCTCTTAAAATAAAAATGATTTTAAATAGTATCATCTGACCTTAATACATTTTAGTCTAACTTAGCCTTTGAGAAGTTAACAACTCCCAAATACCTAGAATTGACAAAACCCTATGAAAAGGGCTTATTTTTTTTCAGACACCTTCCCTTGCTTTTCCAGCCTTAATGCTCATCTGTAAGACCACACTCCTTTAACTACGTTCCTGTTTTAATTGCCTATTGTCTTTTACCTAGGACCAGCATTCTCAATTAACAAAAATCATAGGGCTATATTATACTAAACAAGATTAGGCTAGAAATTATACAAATGTAAAAATGTCCACATTGAATTTCACATTTGAAATAATATGGGGAAATGGTTTAAATTCAGATATACATACCTAACTATATTTGGATGACGAAGTTCTTTTAATAGAGAGATTTCCCGAATTGCAGTACTAGGAACCCCTTCCTCTTCACTTTCTAGTCTTATTTTCTTCATAGCTACCACTTGACCTGTAGTTTTATGTCTACCTTTATACACAACTCCATAGGTACCTGAAATGACAAAGTGAATTTCTGCTATGTGACATGCCCCCAACCATAACCTTTTACAAAAGATTGTTTTTTTAAATGACTGAATCCTATAAAGTGTCACAATAGAAATCTCTGCTGTGACCAGATAAGACGGATCTTACTCATAATTATACACTCATTGCTTACAAGAAATCAAAGATAACTATAACCTATCACATACATGACTTAGAAGTAATTATTATTCATCATAATTTCCAGTGCATTTAAACCATCTTTAATGCTCAGCCACAGAAGTGCAGAAGGCAAGGAGTAGTCACATGAGAAGGAGCTATAAGAAGGCCCTGTGTTCTAGTCTCTGGTCAACCCGAATCTGTCAGGCACCTCTGTGATCCTAGTTTGCAGGGAGGACCACTGCACAAGACCCTGTCAGGAGTCCTTGTCTCGCTTATTCTCAAGGAATAAATTTGACAACATTGAGCACATTTCAGGAGAAAATTAAGACCTCTTATAAATAAACATGCATGTCCTGCCAAATATCCCACCTGCCAATAAAGAATGCATAAAATACAGTGCAATGAATGATTGGGGCTCAGGATATACCACTGACAGGAGTCACCATGACACTTTGAAAAAATCTGTAAAGAGTGTTTTTATATGCATCTCAAATTATTTGGTCAATAATTCTCATCCAGAAAAGAACAGAGACAATAAGACCACATGTTTTCATTAAAAATTTATTAAAAGTATTCATCCTGAGCCAGCCAGATAGAGTAGAGGTTAAAGCAGCTGGTTCCCAAATGGCCTACAGCACAGTTCGAATCCTGAACCCTGTAGCTTGGAAAACATGCAGAGAGCTTATCGTGCATGTTCGAAATCCTGAAAGGAGAATGGAGAAGGGTTTGAGGGTGAAACGCCTTTCTCCCTTTCTGTCTCCAGAGTGCATTTTTGTTCCCTCCATGTCTCTTTGAACCTTTATCAGTTTTTAAACTACTAAAATAGGGATTAAACAAAGAATTGTTCCACCAGTTAATCACCAAAAATTACTTATGAATACATGTTCTATGTTCTGATATGAACTAAGTATTCTAAATATAGGGAAAGTAATTTAGTTTATTAAATAACTAAGGAGACAAATGAAAAATATTAGCAGCTTCACAGAAATAGAAGGGAGTTTCAAAAGTTCATGAAAAATGTATATTGTGGAAAAATGATAAACACACACTTTAATTCCATTTTTCCACAAACTTTTTTTTTTGGAGAGATTTTTGACATAGGGCACATGCACTCGTCAGACAGACAAAGACAGAGACAGAAAGCGAGCAATCACCCCCAGGGGGGATGGCCACGCCGCAATCCCTTCTCCTCCATTCTCCTCTCGGGATCTTGGGCATGCACGCACACGCACCCGGCATGATTTTTAAGCCACCAGGTTCAGGACTCGAACCGCGGTCGACTACATGGGAGTCCAGTGACATAGCCATTACACTAACTGCTGGTCCCTCCACAAACTTTTTGAAGTCCCCCCCATGAAAATAATAACACAAAAAAGTCTAGAAGGAGATCAGTCTAAGACTGACATAAGACTTATCCCAGGAAAGAAGGAAAAATAATGTAGGAGACTGTCAGATCATGGAGGTCTTGAACAGTAAGCAGAAAACCTTTATTTAACAAAATTCAGAGTGTGTACTAATTTCCCGTAAATTTTCACTACCATGGCTATAGCTACTATGACCCAAAAAGACATTTACGAGTATGACAGCACTCAATTTTTGTAATTAAGGTAAAATCAGAAAACAACTTTGCAATATTTGATATAAACCTAGATGTAATTAAGAAATGATTTAGCTTGTCAAAAAACTCAATGTCAAGAGGGAGAAAAGGCAGAGAGACTGCTCCAAATTAAAGAGATTAATTAAGGAAGCATTACCTGCCAAATGAAGCACATGACTTCAGGTGGTCTTCAAAAGATACACACTGAGGTATTAGGGGTAAAATATAATACATCTCCACAACTTGATTTAAATTGATCAAAACCAAAAACAAACGCTAATACACACAGATAATAAAACACAGCACTGGACATGTCCTGTTTTTTCTATATGACCATACTTAATTTGTAAGTTAGGCACAGTAAGAGCAGATGGGATGTAGGAGGTTGGTAAGAGCAATTGACTACTGGTAACAATCTTGGAGAGCCCATTTGCAAATAAGGAAGAACTCCCTGTAGTCTCCTGGGGGTGGGCACTATCACCAGGCAGTGGGCAAACAGTTGTGACCAAGCAAAAACCCCGGCCTTTCATGGAGCTTATGGTATAGCAAGTGAAAAGGATACTAAGAACTATGCGAAGGGGACTACGAAATGCTCTTAGACTAAGACAAGGCGATGAAAAAGGAAGCCAGTAAAGAGTATTCCCAAGGGCCTGGCAGATAGCATGGTGGTTGAGGGCGCTGGACTCCCACATGGACAACCATGGTTTGAGTCCCAGACCTGGTGGCTTGCTTTCTCATTTCCCCCATGTTAAAAATAATGATAATAATAAATAAAGTTAAATAAAAATAAAGTTAAATAAACAAATTATTTTATATTGAGGACATCAAAGAAATCCAAACTAGAGAGCTGGATGGCATTAGATGAAGCTGGGAAGTGGGTTACAACGTAAAGAGAAAGTTGTGGACATGGTGGAAGTGCGGAAATAGCAACAAAAATGGCTAGCACTTGATGTTTTTCTTTTTTCTGAGTTAAAGCTCTCAAACAAATGTACCATACATTGTCTCACTGTATAATCATAATCTTTTATGGTTAGTACAATTATCCCTGTTCAGAGGCAGCAACTGAGATGCAATTAAAGTGCCTTTTATTCCAGAATAAAATCAACACTCATTACAATCTGTGTGGATTTAAGAAATATACATCACAAAGCATTAGACATGCTAATTGAACTTATTTTTAATCACAATATGCCTCCAACCCAACACTATCCTAATTTGTCATTTCTATCTTATAAAATCTGTCTGTATTTTACCCCTTCTAAATATTCCTTGTGCAAATTAGGGCTTTGAGTACACTAACACTAAAAATATAGATGGAAATACTCAAGCAGAATCTATATAAACTGGATTCTATTAACAAATTATTTTATATAAGTTTTCACTTGTTCCCAGAGAATTGTGAATGTCAAAACTTTGATGTTCTGCTGAAAAAGAAAAACAAGCAAAGAGGTTTTTGTTTCTTACTTATATCATATAGGTCTAAAAATTCTTTTAAAGTACTAAAAAGGGAATGAATGATTAAAGATATGAGCATGGCAGGTCATTTACCTCTATGGCAACTAAATAAATGTGTTTAAATCAAATTAGTTTAATAGTATTGTAACCATTTAGAAAGCTCATTGAAAATATTCACAATCCTAAAAATTAATGAGACTAAAAACACATTGTAAAATAAGCATAATTCTACTACCCCAACCTCTGCCCCAATACACATACAAATTATCAATAGTGTTTTTAAAACACAAGTGTTGGGCCAGCCAGCAGCACAGTGGTTAAAGTAGCTGAATCCCACACAGCCAACTTTGTGGTTAGAGTCCTGGACCTAGAAGCTTGAAAAATAAACCAGACAAGTGTGTATGCTTGTCCAAACTCCCAAGAAAAGAATGGAGAAAGGATTGTGGCATGGTCATCTTCCCTGGGGAGGTGATTATTCACTAGCCCCCTCCCCACAAGGGCAAGTGCCCTATAGCAAAACTAAAAAAAAGTGGAAAAATAAAACCCTACAAGTGCTTATCAAAAGAATTAAGATAAAGGGGGCTAGGAAAAGATGTTAGAATAATTGCAAATCACTTTAAATGTGAACATTTTTGTGTTTCAGTCTGTTACGTGGGGAACATACATTACAGTACTTTAAGATTCCTATCGGTTGAGTTTTAATAAGTATTTCTGTCTTTGTGCTACAGAAATTGTAGTACTATTCAACCTTTAAAATAATTTTTGTATTTTTAAAACCACTTACCTTCTCCAATTTTCTCTATTTTTGTATAGTCTTCCATAATTAGTCAACAGGTATGGTAGTAGATCCTAAAATGAGGGAGATAATTGGTTTGATTACATGCCACTTACTCAAAAGGTAGTTTTAATATTACTGAGATACTATATATATGTAAACTTTTCCCACAGTGCCTTCTGTAATATAAATGTTCCATAAGTATTAGTTATTAAAACAATATTAACAAAGGTAAGGACTCCTACAATAATACTTCCCCCTTCTTAGCTCTTTAATCATTGGCAGCATTTGTATATTCTGTGTAGTATTTAGCTTCTTTTGATCAAATTAACCCTCAGAATCAGACATCAACTATCTATTCTCCCCAAACAAAAAGTAAAATTACATTCTCTTCATGTAACATTTGTTAAGTAGCACCGATATGTGCCAGAGTTATACTCAAATATTTCAACAAATTATGCTATCTGATTGCATTTGTAATGTTTTACATGTTTATAAACATGATTCAAAGTAAATTATTTTTTGTGGTCAGATTATTTAATCTTTTAGAAAGATTTAATTTACAACTGCAAAAGACATTTAAGGGTTTACAGATAGATGCTCAAGGACAGTTTTTAACATTTTCTTCATTTTAAGCAGTCACCCAGGCAAACCTGATCAGAACCTTCAAGAGCAGGTAGTTTTTCAAGTGTAAGAAATATCACTACACACCCTAAAGAATAAAAAATTCAGTTCCACAGATAAATATCTAAGGATGCCCTACACAAGGTCAAGAACCAAGTAAAAAATCGCATACTGGAATTGCAAAGAATGAAAAGAGCTGACAATCAAACATTCAAGACTTCCTCAGCTGGTAGGTAGGTTAAGTTTGCCAATGCAACGTCAGAAGCCCAAAGCATAATTACCTTGATTTTTCTAACAGCCCACCACTGAGGATAAAATTATTAGAAAGGTCACTGAGTAACTGACTTCTAATTAGTTCTATTTCTCAATTGATCTTCAAAGAAGAATCAATCCAGCAAGTAAAAATTAATCTTTTTAAGCTAACAAAGTTGCACTACACTGGTTATGAGTACTAAGCTTAAGAGTTTATGTTACAAAACGGCAGAGGACAATTTTCTTCTCCCTCAATAACCAGATGTAATATATGTAAGCACTACAAAATAGTCGCGCTCAGTCTGAGCAAACAGCTAAAAATGTTTCGATGCTGGGTTCAATAACCTCCCACCATTTTCCAGTTTTAACAATTTTAAATACAGGGTATTTCTCTGGAATGCCTTTGAACGTCTCCAGTGGCTATGTACTAAGATCTAAAATACCAAGGGTAACATCTCCCTACCTAGAGACCCCAGGTCTTTAGTGAACGCAAAACGTACACATTTTAACTCCAGTATTATATTTTTAAAATGATTATAGGACATTAAAACAAAAGCAGTTCAATCTCTAGATGTTTCTTAGTTTTCCGCTTCCTGCCAACTCCATAGTGCATAAGCACCAACTACAAAACAAAGAAAAATGCAAGTTCCCTCTGGCTCTGCGCCTGGGCTAAGTGCTCTGAAAAGCTCCGGTGGGCCCGGGAGTTCACCGGATCGGTCTCCCAGGAGCCGCCGGGTTTAGGCACCAGGTCAAGGTGCGGTGTTGCTTCACATCCCCCGACCCCGGCTTCGGAACACCGCCTGGCACCCCGCAGGCGCTCAGCGTGGTGGAAACCACGAGCGGGTTTAGCTTCGAACAGGACCCAAAGGCCTCCTCGGGCAGGTTTCTGGCTCCTTCTCCAGCCTCCCCTGCGTAACTCCGCCAGGCTGGGCTCCCCTGGGCCTCCCTCGACCGCCGGGCCAGGCGTAGCCAACACGCCCAGGCCCCGGGCCCAGGTCAAGGCCCTGCCCACCCCCGCCCTTGAGGCCGGACGGACCTCGGCTCCCCAGCCCGGCCTCCTGAAGTTCACCCCGTTTCCCAACTCTCGCGCTCCGGGGCTTCTGAGCCGGCCGTAGCCGAGGCGACGCCGGTAGAAATGGAGGCCGAGCCCGGTAACTA